AAAAAAAATAACAAAAATTTTGGCGCTAATAAAAAGTTCCTACGATGATTCTAAGTGGAGGCTCATCGATGTTGAAAATTAACCCGTAAATCTTATGGGAAAAAACATTTTTTTAGTATTTCTTCGGGCATTTCCACCGCAGTCAGTCTAAAAATCCAGCAAGTGAGATATCTTTTCTTGAATGTTTTCCACGTGAAATGAGCCTAGGCGGAACAAAATCGATCAATTTCCGACCGAGTTATTCCACTTTGAACTTCAATAATTTTTCTTACTTCTATCTTACTTCTAAATAGTATAATTATTATTAATTAATATACTAGGAGTATAAATAAGTTTCCGCCGTTTTTTCATAAAAAATTGGGCATTTATTGTGAAAGAAAGGTACCTAATGTTTTATTCGAAGTATTGTCCATCGCTATCCTTTTTCCCATCGTCGAAACTACGTTCTTTGTCTTCGATGTCAAATTCACCGTTCTTAAACTTTTGAAACTACTCACGGTAACTTCTCTCACTTAAGGCAGCCTCACCATATGCTTCTACAAGCAGTCAATACGCCTCAACTGCAGATTTCTTCAAATTAAAGAAGCTCCCGAAAATGACGCTTATTCGGCTCAAAACTCGATATTTTCACACGAAAAAAGATATATGATGCTGCATAGAGATAGTAGTACTAGAGTTCGCATTGAAGGAGTGGGGGTAATCCTATCTAGAAAAGGACGCACTCATTTGGGCCTTTTCGCTCTCTCTCGTTTTGCGCATGCGTATAGTCATATATTCTGAGAGAGGGGAGGAATCGAAAGAAAGAACGAGAAAAGAGAGAAGTTTCATATAGTTGAAAGTACAATGTACGGTCCATTACATGACCGGACAAGCTTGATCACTTTGGAATCAAACAAAGAATTGACTTTAATAAGGTTAAGGATTTGCCAAGGGGTTGCTGTTTCAATTCCTTATTCTTTCTTTCGATCCCCTCTCTCAGAGTACACGGCTATACGCATGCGCGAAACGAGAGAGAACGAAACGATCCAAATGAGTGCGTCCTTTTCTAGATAGGATTACCCTCACTCCTCAAATTTCCGACAATGCGTACTCTAGTACTACTATCTCTATGTGATGCTGATACAAAATTGCTAATATTTTAAGGTTATGGCTCGTATTCAGAACGCACTTTTATCGATAAAAGCGCGCTTTTAACTCTGAAATTCTATAGTATACGTGACGTAAACTATAGCATGTTAGCGTGCTAACATCGTTGTTAGCGCGTTCTGAATACGGGCCTATGTTGTTGCCAGATGTCCAACCTTACGATATGACGTTTTACAGCAGACAATTTTAACCATAACATACTGGTGGCGCCATCTTTTGTCAAACAGCGCGGAAACTTATTTATACACTTCTAATAATATTTAATTTAATTAAGTACACTCGGCAACTTTTTTATGCTAATCCTAAGAGACGCTATTAAAAATTTATTAGGTAATAAATATTGTGATATTGATTTATAATAATTTAATCGATAAGTAAAATATTTTACAATATTATATAATTTTGCACAAATAATATGAAATATACGACGCGTTGTTGGTTGATAATTGCACCTATATTTCACGTCTCATTTACCAATATCGCGCGTGATATTTCTTCATTTTGTTAATTTGATGTATATCGAAATTATTAATAATATTAATTAAAATTAAATTAATATCGTGAATAAAGTAATAACGAGAAATCAATATACACTATATACTTAGAGAATACATACTAAGATAATCGTAAGCTCTGGCTTTGTCAAAGAAATAGAAACAAACGTTACATCGTCACATTGCTAAACAGATACATTGCTAATAGATGTAGAATGCCGTCCCACATAGCACACTAGCGCGTGTAAAGCGCTTTCGAAGCGCTGTTCAGATTGCACCTCCCAAAATTACTGTTAATTATGCACTTTTGAAGTGAACATGCGCGTAAAAAGCGCTTTGAAAGCGCTATAAAACTATAATACGCTTTTTATAATGGATGTTGAATGCGCTTTTAAAGCGCTAAAAAGCTGCCAAAGTAATGCACCTGCATACGCGTTTTTTAAAGCGCTTTTTAAGCGCTACTGTGCTACGTGGGGTACATTTAAAAATTTTGGAGAATTTTCCAAGTATAATGTTATTATCGGCTAATAAACATGTAATACTTTAACAATTAACGCGTATTAGTGACAGAAAATATAATTTATAAAACTGCACGAGAGTGTAATTTGTAATATTGTATTTCAAAATACGAAACTAAAATAAAAGCTGTACCATTCGTACAATAAAATACATTTTCCGAGCGTTCCACTAAAAGCGTTAAAGAAAAAAATCACTTTACCCTAACTAGATTAACACTCATTGTCAGTAAACACTATCCAGTCTTATATAAATATTAGTTTTGACATATATTGTATGTATAATCATTATACGCAAATCAATTTTAAAAAAAGCAATTAATGCCACTATCACTGATACATTGTTTCAAGAGCTAGATTTATTGACATTGATTAAATGTATTAATGTACGTAAATAATACAGCATTTGATGAAAAAATAAAATTCCAGTTGCGGAAAAGATCATATATCCGCCGACATTCTACAATAACAATAGAAATATTCAAAGTTATATGAGTATAACAAATGCTTATTCAAATAGCTTTTTAGCATAGTGCCAAATACGGAAAAAGTACTCATCTTTCCTAAGTAATCTTGCTCTTGCGTATGAATGTATATCAGCATCCATATTATGTTCTCTCAACCATGAACTTGTATTTTCCGTACTAAAACTGATCGATGTGGTCTCACCTTTGTCCATGGTCTCTGCAACTGGTTCCACGTACGACAGTTCTGTCAAAGGAACAGATTTAATAATTAAACTTTTTTTCAAGTTTGAAGAATGAATGCTGTGACAATATAAAAATAATTATAATAAGCAAGGAAACACACTGTATCCGGTCAAAGAGAGTATTGGATTCAATAATATTAATTGTGAATTTTTACAATTTCCAATTCAAGCAAACCGCGTTTCGAATATTTTTTGATCTTAAAACAATCCTGAAACTAAAACTGAAGTAATTAATAAACAAGTAAATGTATGCAGTGTTTTTTAAAGACGCTCATTAGCATCAGAATTATTAAATTGCTTATCAATTTAATTTTGTGATATTAATTACTCCAATTTCAGTTTAAGACTGTTTTAAGATCGACAAATATTTGGCGCGCAGTTAATTTGAACTTGAAATTGTAAAAATTAACATAAAAATTTACATTCTGTAATAGTAGGAAACGTTGTGTTATAGTTCAAAAACTTTCTGAGGACGTCCTGGGGACTATCAAATAATCGCCTTATCATTATGACTTACATTTATCTATACGAAATTAGTAGTCTTAAAGATATTCATCTGTAGGACAATTCTATCCTTATTATACTTATCTGCAACACATATCTACACAGTTGGAAAAAATACGTTAAATTTAACATAAATCGCATTTTCCAAACGGTCCATTCAAATTTTTGTGTTAATTTAACATAATATGAGTACGTTGAACGGTAACGCGAATACTACATTTATATTTTAACAAAAATGGAATGTAATCTTGAATAAAACTTGAAAAGAGTTATGTGTATTGTTTACAATCAACATAATTATATGACAATGTGAAAGGCAATCCCAGAGTCGTCGCAGGAATGAATTAAGAATTAATACATGAAAAAATTAAAAATATATAATTGAAACCTTTCAAATAGCGCGTACATGACATGTTTTGGCTCTTAGATTGAACCATCTTCAGATGTACACAAACCCTCTCATTGCAGTGATAATGGAATTACAATGTTTTCATATGTTGTGATGTTAAATGGTTGACTCTCCGAGAGATCAAAATCACTGACAGAGGATTAATAAATCGAATCGTTGGCAAATTCAATATTCTATTCTGATATTATATTGGATTATAAATATGGATATAAAAATTATGCGAATTTCATTTGTATCAAAAACAACTTACCCGGACAGTTCTCATAATGTATTATTACAATATTATATTGAATTTATTTAACAGAGATAAATTATGTTATTTTGCGTTTATTGTGTTGAGGATCAAATATAAGTCACAATCATGTTATCGATGATAAACAAAGAAAGATTAGTCACAAAATTTTAAGAAGTCAGAAATTAATAAGAAATAAACGGAGTCAAGAATTGAGAACTACACGATTTGACATACTAACAAAAACACGAAACTAAATTACTAACAAACATCTTTAAGACTTTGGATTAGAATGTTATTTACTGCTTAGAACATTTTTAAGCACTTATTTGCTAGCTGTCAGGACGTTCTAAAGTTTTTATCTTAAGCAAAAGATTCTAAACATATTTCATACAATCCCAAAATATTCAGGACGTATTGTATGTACTCATCAATGAGAATGCTTGTGCTTTTAGGAGAATTATTAACAAGAACTTATTTTGACTTCTTTGCTTATTGTTTTTGAATATTTTTTGGTCGGTTTAAAATAAATAACTAATATCTAATCAAGTTAGAGAAAAATAGAAATTAAAGTAATGATGGAGTCATACCTGATGTCGGTACGATCTTAAAGGGTTCTTCCGATTCCAAATGATCGCTAAATCCGATTTCATTTCGTGCGAAGATTCTTACGAGATATTCGTGATTCTCTTGCAGATCTCTAATGTTCAATTTTTGGATGTCTGCGCTAACTCTTCCCACTTCCATCCACATAGTTTTCTTTACGTCTCTAATAGCAATTTTGTAAACCTCGAGAGATGCACCGCCATCTGATTCGGGTCTGCCCCATTCGATTACCATTGTATTCGCTGCAATCTGTCTCATCTCTAACGGAGCAGTAGGTGATGATGGAACATCTACAAATATTTCAAGAAGCATATTGTATAAATTGTTACTCTGTTATTATTTATATGTACACGATAATTTGACAATAGTAATATACAGGGTTTGACAATAAGTAATAAAAAGTTTTGTCGCATAGAGGTAGAATGGACTAAACTGAGAAGAAAAGTTCTGTACCATTTTACAATTTTCGCAAAAGTTAACGAGATATTAATTTATAATGATATTCTCAAATTCGCCCGGCTCACCGCTAAATGCAAGTGCGTGGCTGGATAGGACTGTCCTGCAAGGCGCACCGCGCTGTCGCTAACCACACGTTAATTGTTTATAACAAGCGGCAATGATCGTCGCTAGACATGAATCGCGAAGACCATTGCCGCTTGTTATAAATAACGCGTGCTTAGCGATAGCGAATGCGGCGGTGTGCCTCGCTGAGCGCTTCTATCTAGCCGCGCGCTTGTATTTGGCGGTGGGCCGGGCGAATTTGAATATTATTATAAATTAATCTCTCGTAAACTTTTGCGAAAATTGTAAAATGGTAAAGGACTTTTCTTCTCAGTTTAGATTATTCCACCCCTATGCGACAACATTTTTCATTACTTGTCAAACACCCTGTATATGTATATACAAATGTATATGTATGTGTATAAATTAGCTTACTGGCATGAGTTTTTAACGTGATCGGTTCGGAATTAGTAGGTATGCTAAGACCTAAACTATTTTCAGCAAAAATTCTAAAGAGGAATTCGCTTTCTTTTAGGTTCTCTATACAATATTGAGATGTTGTAGCATCTAAAGTGACAACTTTTGACCATCTGGCGCCTTTCCCGATTAATGGTCTCTTCTCGATTACATAACCTATAGTGAAAGGAAAATAATATTAAATCAATATCGAAATAGAAGAATATATTTTATAAAAGTTTATATTTTATTTGCTCGCATATTGTCACCTGTTAATTCTACTCCTCCTGTTGTAGTTGGTGGTGACCAATTGAGAGTGACGCTTTTGCTAGTGATATTTGTTGCTCGGACGTTTAGCGGGCATGAAGGTGGTGCTAAAGAGAATTGAAATTATTATTAATTGCTTAATATACACATGTATTGTTATAAAATTAATATTAAAAGTTATATGTTTTACAACTATCAACGAAATCGGTTGGACGTATATTAATACGAATTAGTGGGCATTAAAGCCGTGGTATATAAATTGATGTAAAATGTATGTTTAATGTAAATTAATATTAAATAGTAAAATCTTATATACTTTATTGTGCTGTTTTGTAAAATATGCATTTGTTGCATGTATTATGTATTTTATTATTTTGGATATTTACATTTAATTTTTACTCTTAAATCAGATCAGTATTCACAACGGTAAATTTTATTTAATGTACACTAATACGCGTACTAATGTGTCTGATCGAATTTGTTAATAAAAAGTACAAGAATAAGATACAATTTAAGCATAAGACATAAAGAACGAAAACAAGTAACTTACTCTTAATGGCAAGCATTTTGGTTGGTGGAAATATGCCTAGTAGCGCGTATATGCTGTTTTCTGTAAGCTTTATTAATTCTAAGCAAAAGTAAAAGCGATCGTATTTATTATTAGGCGAGTTATATCGTGAGTTAATATAATCGAAAATCAGTAAAAAGATAAAACATTAAAAAAATAATTAGTAAACTTACTTGGTTGTTGACCGGTTGTAATCACTTCTTCTGCTATGTACGGAGGACCAGTACCAATGCTATTTTTAGCTATTATTTGGAAATTGTACGATGTGTCTGGTTTTAAATCAGATATAGTAACATTAGTGACTTCCCCCTTTGTACTCGCAATCTAAAAAACGTTAAAATAATGATTAATGCTGTGAACAATTAGTGTCTTACAATTAGTATATAGATAATGCGAATCATACTAACTTTTTGCCAAGTTTTCTTCGATGTTTCTTTCATTTCGATAATATATTTTATAATAGGAGTCCCGCCATCATTCTCCGGTGGTTCCCATTTTATTGTAAATAACGTTTTCGTCATTCCAAAAACTTGGAGTGGTCCCCTCGGTGGACCCGGTGTTTCTAATTATCAGACAAATAAAATGTATGTATATAAATATTTTATAACTAATTAATTTTTTTAATTATAAATATTTTATATTTAATTTTCTTAATATTCTTCTTTTTTTTATTTAATACAGAAAAAAATTTTTTTACCGAATGAAATTCTTGTTTGAATTGGTTCGGATTCCAAAGGATCTGAGAATCCGACCGAGTTTCTAACAACTATTCTGAATAGATAGTTGACGTCTTGTTGCAATTTCTGTACACAGAAATTCTCAACTTCTTTGTCGACATCGCCTACTTTTGTCCAAACTTTCTTATTCATTTCGCACTTCTCGATAGTATATCTTTCCAGTTCAACACCACCATCATCGATCGGTGGTCGCCATTCTATGGTGACACGATCTTGTCTAATTTCTTTCGCGATAATTGGTCCCTGTGGTTTGCTTGGCTTATCTGCAATATATATAAAATATGTACATCACAAACTTTAAATTTACTTTGAAACTTTCATCGCTGTCTGACTAATATGAAAAATTATCAACCTATAACACGAAGATGACATTCCATTGACGAGCTGCCGGCTTCGTTCGATGCTTTCACTGTATAGATAGCTGTGTCATTTCTGACGAGCGAAGAAATCATAATAATAGATGTATTTTTCTTAGTCTCAATAGAAATGCGCTTATCAATTATTGTCTTGTTATTTATCATCCACGTTACTTCTGGTTTTGGGAAACCACTAAAATAAATCTCGGCTTTCCATTTACTGCCAACTGTTAGTTTCTGCTTTCTTAAATTTTCGTCACAAGTAATCTTTGGAGATTCTTGAATTTTTAATTGACATGATGTTTCCGCCATTCCTACATCATTTTGGGCTTTAACTGTAAAAGTGGCCGAAGATGTCTCAGTGGTTTTTCGAATAATGTATTTAGCTACGTGGTTTTCGTATGTGATATCACTATTTTCGAATGCCTTGCCATCTTTCAACCTACAAAATGATTTTCAAAATACATGATTTACTCGAGCGTAGCAATTGACATATTTAGCTGCTAGTAATTAGATAAAAAATGAAATAATCAAAAATTACCATGTAATACGAGGTGTCGGTACACCACCAATTACGCAAGAAAGTGTAACAGCCTCCTCTAATCCAATAATGATACTTTTAAGTGCTTCAAGAATGGTCGGTGGCTCGGACGCTGATAACTTGGAAATTCTTAGATATGGCGTATTCAGCGATGCCTCTCCTGGTCCAGCTTCATTAACAGCTGTTACGCGGAAGGTATATTCCTTGTCGGTGATCAAGTTGGTTAATTTATATGTAGTGTCGATTATTGTCTCTGTGATTCTATTCCATCTTGAAATTAAATCATTTTTTTGGTTATAGATCAAATTGATATAAGGAAACGCGTGTTTAGATTTTTATTTTTTTCTTTAACAAGTCCACAAAATTTTGTATTACAAAATTACTTACAAAGTTACTGTCTTTTCCCGATATTCTAAAATGTACTCTATGATCGAGGAGTGTCCATCTGTATCTGGTTTCTTCCAATGAAGAGTAATGCTGTTGTCAGTTATTACAAGAGGTTCCGGAATTCCTGGTGCACTGGGTACCTCTGTAATGTGTGTATGTACCTTTTTTATTATTGTACTTCTTATTTTTATAATAAAATCGATGTTTCTCTCCGAAAATTATTCTGATTATTATATATCGATATATGTATATGTAATATACACAATATACAGAGTGTTCCCGGGTTAAATGGCCAAATTTGAAATACGTATTTAGGACCTCAAAACAAAGAAAAATTTCCTCTGAAAGAATTCTCGCAAACGCTTCGTTCAAGAGATATATTGACTTATTAAGTTACTGTAGGAATATTATAATGTCGAAATGTCGCTTTTTGCTTTTTTTTTAAAGTCGTAGGTCGTTGATAGTAGGCTTATGTTCGCAATGTAAACAAAGCTACTTTTATTCGTACGAAATAATTAAGTTATTACTTAGTTTATAATCAATAATTAACTAGAAGAAGAAAGCCATTTTACGGTCAAAGCTGCATGGATCACAGTGCTTATTATAATTGTGTGAATTTTATATACTGCGTATGTAGTCCCAACATAAATCGCGACGCTGATAGTTTTTCAGCATTGACGCATACATACTTACTACCACAGTAATATCACTTAGTTAAATTGACAAGCAATCTAACAATTTTTGATGCTTATAGCATCTTATTGGATCATAATAATATGTTGAAAAACATATATTAAATTTTAACAATGTAATGTTTAAGCAAATCTAATCTGTGAAAAATGAGATTGCGAAGAATATCACGAGTTGGCGTTTCGTCCCGGTTTCCACCACTGGACTCATCAGTAAAGCATTGTAATGGAAACCTACCTTAGACGCCTGTATAAGTTATTAATCGAGATTCTATATAAAGCGACATACGCGTATCTCAGCACTTGCGAGAAATTTTGCGAACATCGATAGACCTCTGATGGCGGGTTGACGTAGTAATATTTATCTAAAGTAAGAGAATAACGTCTTTTTTCAGGCTGACGTGATTTAACAAATACTAGAAACTTTTTAGGACCGTATAATTGATAAACAATAATAAACTAGAAGAAGAAAGCCATTTTACCGTCAAAGCTTAGTTTATATAATACTTCTTAAATTACAAAACTATAGGAATAAATAAATATCGAAATAATACAGGTTTAACTTCTTTATTGCTTTACAGTAATAACAAATTAATTATTAAATATTTTGTTAAAAATGACGGCCTTCGCAGCTTGGAGACAAGCATTACATCTATTGATGACAGAACGAGTAGCTGATTGGCATTGTATGGCTGGAATTTCATTGCACGCTTGCTCTATCTTCCGTTTTAATGATTGAAGGTAATTACGAATGAAAGGAGCTTTGTTTACATTGCGAACATAAGCCTACCAACAACCTATGACTTTCAAAACAAAGCAAAAAGCAACATTTCGACATTATAATATTCCTACAGTTCAGTAACTTAATAAGTCAAATGGGTGCATTCAGTACTACAATTGCTCACTGAGCGCTATCCATGAGCGCTCAGTGAGCGATTTCTACGTACTAGATGAAATGTTCTCTTGATAATGCTTGATAAATTACTGAGCGCTCAGTGAGCACTCTAGAATCGTGTATTGGATGCAAGTGCTTACTAGCTGCTTATTGAGAGCGCTCATCATTTTTCATCAATTTTGATGAGCGTAAATTTTTGTCGCTCACATTAATACTGAATACAAATGTTTATTTTATTTGCCACTTATACAATATTTTATAAACAATATTAATAAAAAAAACATTTGTATTCAGTATTAATGCAATCACAATAATTATTTTCTTAAATTCATGTATTATTTATGTAATAATAATTAAAAGATATGTTTAAAAAAATGAAGATTTTCTCGAGTAGTGTGAGTGACTATTATTAACACAATTGACTATACATGCCATTAACAATCATAAACATATAGTTGTGAAATCGAAACATTATTAAAAATTATATTATACACGTATTTAAATTATTATATTTAAATTATTGCCACAATCGTTTTTTTCTTTTAAACGACATCCACGTAGATCATTCTACTACCGTCCGTTTCTTTCTTTGCTTTCTTTTTCTTCCTCTTCTCTCTCCTCGCTTCTCTCTTTTCCCTCTTATTCTCTTTCCTTGCCTTCTCCTTCTTCAGTTTCCTGCCTTTCTAAATATTTAATACCATTATTAATATTTTTTACCAATACAATACCAAGAAATAAATGATTATATTAATACGTAATTTAGATGCAACTCAGTCGATTCT